AAAGCTTCAAGCTTCAATTTAAAATAAGTTTTATTTCTTAATTTCAATAAACACGGTTTCCAGGAATTTTTGAATTGGCATCTTTTTTGACACTTAGACTATGCGAAAATAGGGGGATTGCATATTTTGCTAAAATTTTATTCCAAAGGCCTTTACTGAGTGTATTTTGATAGCGTTTTAATTCTTTCTGATTATGTCACAAAGTTTCAAAATGTTTGACTTCTTGGGACACAAAGGGTTAAGAGCATAACGAACTCAATCCCATTATGGAAATGCCACGGTTAACACCGAAAAAGTCACCATAGTTTCCATTGTCCAATAGTTTTGATATTAATTTGCTAAAGTATGATTTCGATTTCTTAAATTTTGATTTTGTTCTGTTAAATTTTGATTTTGATTTGTTAAATTGTAAATAGTTTATAAGAGTTGTTTCTTTTGTTGGTGACAATAAATGACTATCTATCTATCTAATCAATGTTAAAGAAAGTACCAATCAGAGCGACATCTTGTAATGAATAACTGATCTACAGCATGGAGTATCGATTTATAAGATAAACACAGATTAAGTTATTAAAAATGTTAAATGTTTTCAGACTAAATAATTTTTATTAAAAACTTCTTCGTTATTATACACTATTTCCTTGGTAGACTGGTGAACATCTTGTCACTAATTAAAAGTAAATATTTTAAACTTAATTAGATTGACTAGTGCAATAAGTAACTATTTAAAAAAAATACAATTTTGTACTAGAATTTGGTAACAACTTTCATTTTTAAACCTAAAGCTCGCTTTAACGTTTAATTTCGATATATATTACTTTATATATGTATATTTATAATCCTTACAATTAATTATTTATCTTAACCCTACTAAATTTTCATCGTTAAAATCGCCGTTATCACCATAACCCATATCACCGGCATTTTTAACCCACCACCATTATGCCGCTTCACCAATCCTTGTTGATTCGGCTCCTCAACTTCATTTTCGATTTGATCCCCAGCTGCGGGATACCAAGTTTGAACCGAATTTGGATCCGAATCTGTGAACGCCCCCTCCGAAAACGTTCTAGAATCTTGTTGAGTTGAAAAACCATCGAAATCTAAATCAAATAAGAATTATTATTTATCTTTAATAAAAATAGTTTTAAAGTTATTTAAAGTACCATCGGTTTTTGATGGATAATTCGACACGACCCATCCGTTCGATGAAAAATCGGGCGAATAAGTAGTCGATTGCTCGAAATTAGTCGTTGGGAAATTTGGGGTTTCGCTAAAATCCGACCAACTACTTGAACGCCCGTAAGAACTCGGTCTACTTCTTGAACCTAATGTGTCAACGTTGGAGTCGCCTGATGATGACTCGGAAACGACTGGAGTAAATTGAATGCTCGTGGAAGGCAACCAAGGAGTTATTGTTGATTTTTTATTTAATGGTGGTAATTCTTTTGCGAGTATGTTTGTGGTTGTTATTGAAGACGGGAATGTTGAATCGGTGAAGTAATCGTTTCGAAGTAAAATTTCGCAATTTATATTACTTGATGGGCTAAAAAAAATTTATATATATATAATTTTTCATCGTACTGAATTCTTTATAAACAATATCTATTGAAAATTAGATTACAAATGCATTTTGTGATAAAACGAAATTTTAATTTCCCACTGAACAGTACGTTATTACTACCTATATCAAATCAATTTCAAAGCAAATTATAGATTTTATCGAAAAATCTTTCGTACAATACTAGTACATAAAGTGGTGGCTTTACGACAGGTTCAGACGTGTTTTCCTAATAAACCCATAGATTTAGAACAATAATCTATACATGTAAAACAAAGTACACACTATTAGCTTTAAATTGATATATCATTCAGCTATATTGTTTCATGAAATATCGAAAATTCTCTAACATGACGTTTCTTGAAAATTCGATGTTTTTAGCATAAATTTAATCAATGGGAGAATTTTTTTCCTAATAAACCAATAAATTTAGAACAATAATGCATAGAAATAAAATAAAGTACACAATTTTAGCTACAAAATGATGTATCATTCATGATTGTAGTTAAATTGTTTCATGAGATATCGAAAATTGTATATTATGAAATTTTTTTTAAATTTGTTATTTTTAGCATAAATTTAATCAAATTGAGAACTCTTTTCCTAATACACCAATAGATTTAGAACAACAATGTATACAAATAAAACAAAGTACACACCTTTAGCTTCAAAATGATACATCATTCATGATTGTAGCTAAATTGTTTCATGAGATATTGAAAATTGTATAACATGACGTTTTTTGAAAATTTAATGTTTTTAGCATAAATTTAATCAATTGACAATTTTTTCCTAATAAACCAATAGATTTAGAAAATAATGCAAACAAATAAAACAAAGTACACAATTTTAGCTTCAAAATGATATATCATTCATGATTGTAGCTAAAATGTTTCATGACATATCGAAAATTGTCTAACATACCGTTTTTTGAAAATTTGCTGTTTTTAGCATAAATTTAATCAAGTTGAGAATTCTTTTTTCTAATAAACCAATAGATGTAGAATAATAATGTATACAAATACAATAAAGTACACATTTTTTACTTCAAAATGATATATGATTGATGATTGTAGCTAAATTGTTTGTTGAGATATGGAAAATTGTATAACATGACGTTTCTTGATAATTTGTTATTTTTAGAATAAATTTAATCAACTTGAGAATTCTTTTCCTAGTAAACCAATAGATTTAGAACAATAATGTTTGTAAATAAAACAAAGTACATACATTTAGCTTGAAAATGATATATCATTCATGATTGTAGCTAAATTGTTTCATGAGATATTGAAAATTGTATAACATGACGTTTTTTGAAAATTTATTGTTTTTAGTATAAATTTAATAAATTTGAGAATTCTGTTCCTAATAAATCAATAAATTTAGAACAATAATGTTTATAAATAAAACAAAGTACACACTTTTAGCTTCAAAATGATACATCATTCATGATTGTAGCTAAGTTGTTTCATGAGATATCGAAAATTGTACAACATGATGTTTCTTGAAAATTTATTATTTTTAGCATAAATTTAATCAAATTGAGAATTCGTTTCCCAATAAACCAATAGATTTAGAACAATAACGTATACAAATAAAACAAAGTACACACTTTTTGTTGCAAAATGATATATTATTCATGATTGTAGCTAAATTGTTTCATGAGATATCGAAAATTGTACAACATGACGTTTTTTGATAATTTTTAGAATAAATTTAATCAACTTGAGAATTCTTTTCCTAGTAAACCAATAGATTTAGAACAATAATGTTTGTAAATAAAACAAAGTACACAGCTTTAGCTTCAAATTGATACATTATTCATGATTGTAGCTATATTGTTTCATGAGATATCGAAAAATGTCTAACATGACGTTTTTTGATAATTTGAGATTTTTTTTCCTAATAAACCAATGGATTCAGAACAATAATGTATACAAATAAAACAAAGTACACACATTTAGCTTCAAAATGATACATCATTCATGATTGTAGCTATATTGTTTCATGAGATATCGAATAATGTCTAACATGACGTTTTTTGATAATTTGAGATTTTTTTTCCTAATAAACCAACGGATTCAGAACAATAATGTACACAAATAAAACAAAGTACACACCTTTAGCTTTAAGACGATATATCATTCATGATTGTAGCGATATTGTTTCATGAGATACCGAAAATTGTATAAAATGACGTTTTCTGAAAATTTGACGTTTTTAGCATAAATTTAATCAAGTTGAGAATTTTGTTCCTAATAAACCAATAGATTTAGAACAATAATGTATACAAACAGAACAAAGTATACACCTTTAGCTTCAAAATGATACATCATTCATGATTGTAGCTAAATTGTTTCATGAGTTATCGAAAATTGTATAATATGATGTTTTTTAAAATTTGTTATTTTTAGAATAAATTTAATCAATTTTAGATTTTTTTTTCTAATAAACCAATAGATTTAGAACAATAATGTATACAAATAAAACAAAGTACACACTTTTAGCTTCAAAATGATACATCATTCATGATTGTAGCTAAATTGTTTCATGAGATATCGAAAATTGTACAACATGACGTTTTTTGATAATTTGTTATTTTTAGAATAAATTTAATCAACGTGAGAATTTTTTTCCTAGTGAACCTATAGACTTAGAACAAAAATGTTTATAAATAAAATAAAGTACACACTTTTAGCTTCAAAATGATACATCATTCGTGATTGTAGCTAAATTGTTTCATGGGACATCAATAATTGTATAACATGACGTTTTTTGAAAATTTGTTATTTTAAGAATAAATTTAATCAACTTGAGAATTCTTTTTCTAGTAAACCTATAGATTTAGAACAATAATGTTTATAAATAAAACAAAGTACACACTTTAGCTTCAAAATGATACATCATTCATGATTGTAGCGAAATTGTTTCATGGGATATCGAAAATTGTATAACATGACGTATTTTGAAAATTTGTTATTTTTAGCATAAATTTAATCATCTTGAGAATTTTTTTCCTAATAAACCAATAAATTTAGAACAATAATGTTTACAAATAAAACAACGTACACACTTTTAGCTTCAAAATGATACATCATTCATGATTGTAGCTAAATTGTTTCATGAGATATCGAAAATTGTCTAACATGACGTTTTTTGAAAATTTGTTTTTAGCATAAATTTAATCAACTTGAGAATGTTGTTTTTAATAAACCAATAGATTTAGAACAATAATGTATACAAATAGAACAAAGTACACACTTTTAGCCTCAAAATGATATATCATTCATGATTGTAACTAAATTATTTCATGAGATATCGAAAATTGTATAACATAACGTACTTTGAAAATTTGTTATTTTTAGAATAAATTTAATCAACTTGGGAATTCTTTTTCTAGCAAAACCTATAGATTTAGAACAATAATGTTTATAAATAAAACAAAGTACACACTTTAGCTTCAAAATGATATATCATTCATGATTGTAGCTAAATTGTTTCATGAGTTATCGAAAATTGTATGAAATAAGGTTGTTTGAAAATTTGCTTCTTAATAAACCAATAGATTTAGAACAATAAAGCATACAAATAAAACAAAGTACAAACTTTTAACTTCAAAATGATACATCATCCATGATTGTAACTATATTGTTCCATGAGATACCAAAAATTGTATAACATAACATTTTTTGAACATTTGTTATTTTTGGCATAAATTTAATTAACTTGATAATTTTTTTCCTAACAAACCAATGGATTTAGAAGAATAATGTATACAAATAAAACAAAGTACACACTTTTAGCTCAAAATAATACATCATTCATAATTGTAGCTATATTGTTTCATGAGATATCGAAAATTGTATAACATGACGTTTTTTGAAAATTTGTTATTTTTAGAATAAATTTAATCTAGTTGAGAATTCTTTTCCTAATAAACCAATAGATTTAGAACAATCATGTATATAAATAAAACAATGTGCACACTTTTAGCTTTAAAATGATACATCATTCACGATTGTAGCTATATTGTTTCATCAGATATCGAAAATTATATGAAATAAGGTTGTTTGAAAATTTGCTTCTTAATAAACCAATAGATTTAGAACAATAAAGCATACAAATAAAACAAAGTACACACTTTTTGTTGCAAAATGATACATCATCCATGATTGTAACTATATTGTTTCATGAGATATCGAAAATTGTATAACATTACGTATTTTGAAAATTTCTTATTTTTAGCATAAATTTAATCAACTTGAGAATCCTATTCCTAGTAAACCAATTGATTTAGAACAATAATGTTTATAAATAAAACAAAGTACACACTTTAGCTTCAAAATGATATATCATTCATGATAGTAGCTAAGTTGTTTCATGAGTTATCGAAAATTGTATGAAATAAGGTTATTTGAAAATTTGCTTCTTAATAAACCAATAGATTTAGAACAATAATGTATGTAACAAAACAAAGTATACACGTTTAGCTTCAAAATGATACATCATTTATGATTGTACCTATATAATTTCATGAAATAGTGAAAATTGTATAACATGAGGCTTTTGAAAATTTGCTGTTTTTAGCATAAATTTAATTAAGTCGGGAAATTTTTTCCTAATAAACCAATAGATTTAGAACAATAATGTTTACAAACAAAACAAAGTATACACTTTTAGCTTCAAAATGATACATCATTGATGATTGCAGCTATATTATTTCATGAGATATCGAAAATTGTCTAATATGACATTTTTTGAAAATTTGCTGTTTTTAGCATCAATTTAATTAAGTTGGGAAATTTTTTCCTTATAAGCCAATAGATTTAGAACAATAATGTTTACAAACAAAACAAAGTATACACTTTTAGCTTCAAGATGATACATCATTTATGATTGTACCTATATTATTTCATGAGATAGCGAAAATTGTATAACATGACGTATTTTGGAAATTTCTTATTTTTAGCATAAATTTAATCAAGTTGAGAATTTTTTTCCTAATAAACCAATAGATTTAGAACAGTAATGTATACAAGTAAAACAAAGTACACACTTTTAGCTTCAAAATGATATATCATTCATGATTGTAGCTAAATTGTTTCATGAGATATCGAAAATTGTACAACATGACGTTTTTTGATAATTTGTTATTTTTAGCATAAATTTAATCAATTTGAGAATTTTTTTCCTAGTAAACCAATAGATTTGGAACAATAATGTTTATAAATAAAACAAAGTACACACTTTTAGCTTTAAAATGATACATCATTCATCATAGTAGCTAAATTGTTTCCTGAGATATTGAAAATTGTATAACATGACGTTTTTTGAAAATTTATTGTTTTTAGTATAAATTTAATAAACTTGAGAATTCTGTTCCTAATAAACCAATAAATTTGGAACAATAATGTTTATAAATAAAATAAAGTACACACTTTTAGCTTCAAAATGATACATCATTTATGATTGTACCTATATTATTTCATGAGATAGCGAAAATTGTATAACATGACGTTTTTTGAAAATTTGCTGTTTTTAGCATAAATTTAATTAAGTTGGGAAATTTTTTTCTAATCAACCAATAGATTTAGAACAATAATGTTTACAAGCAAAACAAAGTATACACTTTTAGCTTCAAAATGATGTATCATTCATGATTGTAGCTAAATTGTTTCATGAGATATTGAAAATTGTGTAACATGACGTTTTTTGAAAATTTGTTATTTTTAGCATAAATTTAATCAACTTGAGAATTTTTTTCCTAATAAACCAATAGATTCAGAACAATAATGTATACACGTAATACAAGGTACACACATTTAGCTTCAAAATGATATATCATTCATGATTGTAGCTAAATTGTTTCATGAGTTATCGAAAATTGTATAATATTATGTTTTAAAAAAAATTTTTTTTTGGAATAAATTTAATCAACTTTAGATTTTTTTTCCTAATAATCCAATAGATTTAGAACAATAATGTATACAAATAAAACAAAATACACAATTTTAACTTCAATATGGTGTATCATTCATGATTGTAGCTGTATTGTATCATGGGATATCGAAAATTGTATAACATGACCTTTTTTGAAAATTTGTTATTTTTAGCATAAATTTAATCAACTTGAGAATTTTTTTCTTAATAAACCAGCAGATTTAGATCAATAATGCATACAAATAAAACCAAGTACACACTTTTAGCTTCAAAATGATATATCTTTCATGATTGTAGCTATATTATTTCATGAGATACCGAAAATTGTATAAAATGACGTTTTTTGAAAATAATCATTCAAAATCAAAATAATAAATTTTTGGCTCAACTTTAACAGCTCATAGCTCGAAAACAAAAGAGTTGCGACTTTATGTTTATATAAAAAAACTTGTATTATTTTGGCAAGTACTACGTACCAGTAAACTTTCCCGATTAAAAACTGAACCACCCCACTGTATATACCACTGTATATATCACAAGAATTCAGGACATTTCTACGCAAATTATAGTTTTTATCGAAAAATGTTTTATATAATATTTGTTTATAATGCAATTTAAAATCGATTATTTTAATAAAAAAATTTGATATCTCTACCAGGTGGCGCTGTATACTGGTATGCATATTAATATTTTTGAGATTATAATAATAATTATTGACTGTATCGATTTTTTTTATAAACAATTCTTGTTTAGAATTAAATTAGAAACAACTTTTCTTGATGGAATTTTTTAAGATAACTAAATTTTAATTTCCCACTGAATAGTACGTTTTTACATTAGATCGATATCACAACAGATTTAGCTTAATTAGTCAAAAAAGGAATATATATCTATATAGTTACATATAATTGAAGCATTGATCTTGAATAAAACTCAAAGCCTTTTCAATGACTTGCCCTGAAAACCTAGTCGCCGGTCCATTTTGAATCCCGCCATCGCACAATTTCGTCGTTTCGGTCGAAACGCATCTCTTAAATTTCTCGTGGGTGCTTCAACAAATTAATTAATTATTTAATGAGTTATTTTTTTATATTAATTAGTTCTTACCAGCATAAAGTCGCCCTCGATATGTCATCACCCCTCGAAACTTGATTAACCAAGGTGTTATATTCATACCCGCAATGCTCGCGATCGGTTATCGTGCTTTTTAAGCACGGGGCGTATCTTAAATATTCCTTTTGGTAACCCGAATCGGTGTTGCACATCTGATGCACCGACTCAATCGAACTTCGAACAGCTTTGTTGAATTGATTCCGTTCTTGGTACGTAAAACATTTCCCTGTGTATGTGCTAAGACAATTTATTAAATGATTCCATGTGGTGCAAACGCGATCGACGTCGTCTAAATTATCGGGAAAAATTAAATGAATCTCTTTGACTAAAGGATCTGCGATTTTTACGCATCTATTATATTCCGTTGAGCTACAATCGTATTTTAAAGAATGAATCGGGGTGAATTCCAAAATTATAAATATTAAGAAATTAATTATCATTTTGAAAGAAAATTTCTATTGAATTCTTGCCCTCGTTTTAACTTCGTTATATTTGATAAGTGTCCCGTTTTACTTAATACAGAAGCGGCACGCTATTTCCAATCGATATTCCCACGTTAAAGATTCAATTATATCGTCGACTTGAAATAATCAATTTGCTTTTTTTCTCATATTCAAATCGTTTCAACGATTATTTCTTCTTTAATCACAATCTGACCTGAAAATCAAAGGGTAATAATTAGTTTATTGTAGGCGATGACCTCACCGCCCACTCGCGAAGAGTGAGTGAGTTGAAAGAGTTGTGCTGGATTGGCGGAGGGTTTCTTTAATGTGGCCTTAGCGTGCGTTTAAATCTTGATAATATTCAGATTCAACCCCGCATAAACATTATTTCTGGACGTGTGTTGTTCAAATCTGGAAGGTTAGAAATGGTGAGGGTGAAATTTGTTCGGCGATAAAGGAATGTGATTAGATCGAAATTGTCTGCAAGAAAAAAAGTTATATATACATATAAATATATGCGACTCTTCAGCCCAAGTCTAACTGAAATACTATTTAAAAATAAAATACTTGGATTGAGAAGCACCAATTTCACTCAGATGTTAATTAAAATAAAAACGTTTTGTTGAAGGGAAAGTTTCTTTTGACTACAAGACCATCTTTATTTTTGTACAATGAATAGTAACACTTCTTACAAAATTATAATATCTCAACCCATGCTAGAGATACTTGCCCAGGGTCTTTTAAGTGAAACACCCTGTATATATAAATTAGTGGTGGAACGGATATCCGGCAACTATCCGGTAAAAATTTCCCAAAGTGTTAATAAAAGTGTCCTCTTTCCAATCAACCAACCCGTTTTGAAAAATAACTTTTAGTTATTGAGAAAACAATATTTGAAATTTTGATAAAATTTTTGATGTTGCGATAATTTTCAAAATTCGCTATAAAATTAATTTCTAATAATAATAATATATTTTTATTGTCGTAATAAACCATTACTACAAAACGTCATTGAATACATAAGAAATAAAATGAAATATCAATAATACAAATATACATTTCATGGCAATTATACACTACACATTACGCATTAAAATTGTGAGACTGAACTGTCGTGAGATGGTCCTCGCACTAATAGAAAACGTTCTCCATTAAATATTCTTTTATTTTCCTCTTAAACCGTTGCCTAGACAGCGCAGTCAGCTGCGATGGTAGTTCGTTGTAGAGTCTTGGACACCACTAATCCACATACTTTTGCGTTGATGCAATTCTGTGGTACGGTACCTGGTGTCGTGATCTTGTCAGATAGCTATATATGCTTGGTAAGGTAAGTATTTAAAGGTAAGTATTTATAACACACAGCACCCGTAATGCCCTCTTCTGTAGTCGGAAGATCCCCAGAAAAGAACACCATAGGACGCCACCGAGTGAAAAGATGCAAAGTATGACAACCTGGCTTTCTGGTGAGTGGCTACTTGTTTTAGTCTTCGTATTGTAAAGATAGCAGAAATCAGCCTAGTCCTCAGATGCTTCAAATGCACTTTCCACGTCATTCCGCTGTCTAGATGCATACCCAGAAATGTTACAGTTGTAGATTCCCTCCCACGTGGAGTGGTCTCTAGCACTATACGTTCTGTTTTTTCACTGTTTAGTTTGAGCAGATTATTACTGAATCATTCTTGAGTGGTTAATATTGCTTCTTGTGATTTAGCCATCAAGTTATCCTTTGTAGTGTCCGTTAATACGATGGATGTATCATCAGCATATAAATATGTCTTCAATAATGTTGCAAGGCAGATCATTAATATATATAATAAACAGCAGAGGTCCAAGAACAGATCCCTGAGGAACACCATGTTTGATTTTTACACTAGACGATCTATTACCATTATACTCAACATATTGTTAATAAATAAGATCTTATTAAATTTAGTTGTAGACCTCTAATACCATAAAACTGAAGTATACTTAGGAGAATGGAGTGGCTGATGGTATCGAATGCCTTGCTGAGGTCCAGCAGGTTGATCTGAACCACATTTTGCTCATGGTGTGCTTTCGTTATAAAGGCAATTACTTCAGAAACAGCCGTTATTTCCGATTTGCCTGATTGGTACCCGTGCTGACTGGTCGCAAAATATTTATTGGTCTTAAAGTATTCCACCAACCTTCTTGCTATTAATCCTTTTCATCACCCATCTTATATAATGGCAGGACTCTCGCTGTCTTGAACTTTGAAGGAAAAATTCCATCGCTGACACATTTATTGAACATAACATTAAGATTGACCGCACACTGTTCTATTACTGACTTTATTATATTGTTTGTTAAGCCATATGTGTCAGCTGTGTCGCTGTTCTTCATTTGACCAACTGTTGTTATTATTTCTGTTGTTGTTATTGGTCTGAAGAAAAAAGAATTTACATTTGTCACATTTAAGTTTTTGAGGTAGCGATCAAGTGAGTTAGTTGACGGGAGTGTTTGTTGATGTCCTCAACGTCGAGAGGTACAGGACTACTATTTGAGCCACTCTTGGTATACTGATTTATTACCTTCCATATTGCACGTTGTTTGTTGCCAGCATTGTTTATAAAGGTTTCATTTTGTTGTCTATTATAATCATGTATTGCCTCATGATACTGTTTCTTATATTTTATGTACAGCTGATAACATTCCTGGGATTTGGAAACTCTCATAACTGTAAATAAAGCCTCCAAAGTTCTTTCCATGTTCATCAATTCAGTGTTCTTGAACTGTTTCATTTTTGTTATGCTTGACTTTATCTTTTTCTTTACAGGAAAACATCGATTAAACAGTCCCAAAAACCGAGCAGAGTTAATTGCAGCAAGATTTAACGGGGTATCCGTAAGTAACTCCCTAATAATAAAATTTTCGATGTTGCAATTTTAATCGATCATTTTCAAAATTCGCTATAAAATTAATTTCTTGAAGGATCCTCTTGGAAATATCACCAATTATTAATTAAAGTGTCCTCTTTTTAATGCAAAAAGCCGTTTTGAAAAATCACTTTTAGTTCTTGAGAAATACATTTTTGAAATGATCGAAAATTTTTTCGAATTTTGCAATTTTCGCCGGTTAAGATTTGAAAATTCGTATAAAATCGATTTCTTGGAATATGAGTTTGAAATTTTCCGAAAGTGTTAATAAAAGTGCCCTTTCTCCAATGAACCAACCCGTTTTAAAAAATAACTTTGAGTTTTTGAGAAAACAATATTTGAAGTTTTGATAAAATTTTCGATGTTGCAATTTTGATTGATAATCTTCAAAATTCGTTATAAAATTAATTTCTTGAAGGATCCTTGTGGAAATATCACCAATTATTAATTAAAGTATCCTCTT